ACCGTTCGACATAATGTTCGTGATTATCGACATAGAGACACACTATTCACGATTTACGGAATTCTTGAAATCAATGACAGCATTATGTAACAAATCCAGATCGTCTTCATCGGCTAGATTATCTTTGATAAAATCGAATAACCAGAAAGCACAAGGTATTATTGTAACACCGTTAGATTCCAGATAATCGGTTACGTCGTCATAATGAATTTTGAAACGATCAGTTTCATACGAGGGTGTCTGACGCTTGACCTGAGCAAAAATATTTTTTTCAAAAAATGTCGCTAGCATTGGAGAGAGCGAGGACTTCTCAAATACAATAGATGAATAGAGCGGAGCACGTTTTTCAACACTCTGAAAACGAAAAATTGATTGCAGATGTTTCATTGAAACAAGATGATAAATAAAACAAGGAGAACTAGTCGAGTACATCTGAATTTACAGACAAAGCTGTTTCAATAAAATAGTAACTTGTTTTTTATATCTGAAATGTTTGCAATATTCTTAAAAAATCATTTCGTTAAAATTATTTTTCTTTGTTTGGTGAGTATATTGAACTTTTATAAGACAGTGAGGGATACGTTGAAATTTTCAAGAATATTTATGCGATCAGCGAATATAGTGATGAATATTCGATAGAAAATTCGGAAGGTGAATACGAAATACCAGGTGAGAAATTGAATTCGGTGTGAAAAGTTTATTTGTCGATAATATTCTTCTGTAGAATATCTTTTAGAACAATTGAATGATTGTTATTCAGGTGATACTTTTGCTTTTTCGAGCATATCAAAGATGATTTTGAACGATCGATTAGAAGATGATGTTTATCAATTTCAATTTTCTTCGTCTATGAATGATTTCCTTCGCAAACAGATTCTAATAGGTCAATTGAACACTATGAGTCAAATCAGAAGTGCAAAGCTTTGTTTTTATGGCGAAGATGGTACGAAAGAATACCAATCCAGTCGACATTCTCTTGGTCATCAATTTCAAATCTCAGTCGAAGAAACATTGACCTTTTCCTATGCAACCTGTTGGTTACAATTACAACCGAATTCAGATTTTCATCCCGATAGTCTTTTCTTCCACCTATCAAATCGTAAATTTCCAGTTGTCGATGACTTGATACATATTTATTTGTGATTCTCTATAGATGATGTTCACGTATACAACGCAGACTTTCACATTCGATGGTTTAATACTTCTCCCGATACTTACGAACGCTCGATTTTAAGTATCAACGATGAAATTCCCGCCCCGACAATAATTGTCACACGCGGTGATTTTATTAACATTACAATCATTAATGAATTATCTGAGCCAACAGCAATTCATTGGCATGGTCTATCACAACGTCACAGTTTACATATGGATGGTGTTCCAGGTGTAACGCAATGTGAAATTTTACCTGGTCAATCATTTATTTACACATTTTCTACGGAAGGTCAATCAGGTACTTTTTGGTATCATTCTCATTATGCAATGCAATATGGTGATGGACTAAAAGGTGCTTTAATTATTAAAGATCCAGACGATCCATGGAAATCTTATTATCAAGATGAAGAAGTTCTTCAAATCACCGATTGGTATCATGTTCCAGCTCATATTCTTTTACAAACGTATTTATATCCCGGAACATTAGATCCCGTGCCTGATACAATTTTGATAAATGGTATCGGACAATATGATTGTGATTCGAATGGAGAATGTCCGTATTATCGTACATCGATTTGTTCCGGTGAGACGAAACGATTTCGAATTATTAACACATCTGCATATGCGACAATAACTTTGACGATCGATCAGCATCGAATGAGATTAATCGAAAGCGACGGAACTTATCTAAACGGAAAGAAATATGTAGAAAGCCTTCGCTTAAGTCCCGGACAAAGATATTCAGTATTGATTACGACAAAGAAAACTTTCAAGAACAGTTTTTGGATACGAGCAACAATACATCCATTTGTAGATTACAATGATCAATATACATCTGTAATTCATCCGACTGTGCAAGCGATTTTAGAATACTTTGACGAAGATGGAAATAAGCTGACTTCGATTTTTGAAGGATCGAATGAATATTTGTCGATCATTAATCAATCAATTAGTTTTGGACAAACTTTTAGTGATGAAGTGAATTTGATTCCGATGAAGTCAAATGTCCCGACGAACGGAAATGTAAGAAGATTCTTTTTAGATTCGCAGCACAAAGGTAGTCAACCAGGATTTTTTTACATCAATAATCATACATTTGTTCATCCGACAAGTCAAATGATGTTGGCATCAATTGTCTATGATAAGATGAATGACTTACAACTTTCTCAATTCATCCGTGTCGAAAATGATAACATTGTCGATCTGGTTATTAATAATATTGATTTTGCACCACATCCATTTCATCTTCACGGCCATCATGTTTGGATATTAGCTCAAGGAAATCGAAAGGAGGGTTATATTAACGAAACGACAATCGATGATGTCAAATTGAATTTGAAGAATCCAATTTATCGAGATACATTTACGATTAATCCGTATTCTTATGCCATTGTTCGTTTTAAAGCAAACAATCCAGGCATATGGATGTTACATTGTCATAATGATTGGCATTTACAACTCGGAATGGCTTCAGTCATCATTGAGTCACCCGAACTCGTCAAAGACTTTTATTCGAAACATAATCTGATTGATTGTATCCCTGAATATTGTAAACATCATTTGATGTGAAAGCACTTCATTGTGCATTCTGATTTCTTCCATTGAAATTTTATTAGACAAAAGAATAAGAAGAGTGATCATTTCGCAATTTGCAAGTCTATAATCATACCGACTTTATCGTCTTTTTAAGTTTTGTGCTGACACAACCGAATAGAAAAGAGATTGTTTCTCTCGAGTGATTACACCTTTGTCGTGCAACAGCACATTCACCGATATAAATACAGTGCGTTTCGCAGTTAACAACTCATCAGAAGCGTCTGTTTTCGGTAATAGGGATTTGCGTACTATGACATCGTTATTATCATGTTATAATTGTGCCAATGAGAATTCCCGATGCAATGACATTCTTCAATAGTACTAATGACGAAACTTTTGAAAATCTATCAACTAAGTACGAACACGAAAAACAAAATAATTTCCGGTTCATAAGTGATGAACGGAGTCAATCCAGCAATGAGACTGAATCGATATGAGAATGGTGAAAAGAGACTTTATTTTCTGAAGCGAAAAGCCAAATCTAATGTGAACGAATTAACTGTCTCCGAAGGATTTCATACCTACGGTGGAATTGAACAAGGCTTTGAATGTATCAGTTCAACAAAAAGGTAAACCATTTGGATTCATTATATGTCTCAAAGAAAAAGTAGATTATCTCGCTCGTTCGAATTTCTTTCGTGCAGCTCAATAAATGGAATTACAATCGAATCTTGTTGACTATCCTCATATTAACACATCACACAATGTACCAACATTAGTTTTCTTAGAAATGTCAATAATTTGTCTGATTCTTCTTTTAGGAATTTGTTTTGAAAAGAAAATTCTACATTATGCTCAGTAATGTTTATACTCTTCAGTAAAAATCAAAGTTCGTCTATTGAATTTAAGCGATTGCTATACGAAATGTTCGAATTTGCATTGGATTGAAAATGATTGTTGAATTTTGCTTTGCCAAAAGCGATTTCCGATTTTCGATGCCCGAGTGTTGTTCATCAGTGAACCAATGGAGTCTATCCATCTTCGATAATTCTAAATTTCCATCCAATGTTAATTCGACGAATTGATCAATTATTCCAATAGATTTAAACAATGATTGCAAATCAATTAAAGTTGGATTGGAATAGATGTGATCTTCATTCAATTCAAAATAATGCTCAAGACGAACCAAAAATTCTTTCTCTTTCAATTGATCAAATGTCAACAAATGGATATTCAATGGTAAACTTTCCTGCAACATTGACCATGTTTGTCCATAACCATTCGAATAATTCGTATAAGATGAGTTAAACAATTGAAATGTGGCTAACGGCGAGAGAAACAATTGTTGAGAACGAGCACGATGATAAAGCGAACTTGATTGTGGTGAATCGAGATACAGAAAATGTTTTCCTCGGATGACAAGTCCGCGATCAAACGCAGTTTCATTCAACGCTTCACCAACGCCCATATGATCATCATAGAGCAATCGTCGATGTATCATTACCTCAATTGAACCATCCAATAGACTCGCACCACCTTGTGAACGATCCGTCAGAATTGTAAACTGTCGATTGGTTTCGTTGATCCAAATTCTTGAATTAACTGGATAATAATTACCACTGACAGGTTCAGTGATCGTGTAATTATATGTCGGTCGATAGTTTCTTATTCTTTGAAGAACTTCTCGTCCATTGGAATCGGTGTAGTACTTTGATTGACTTGCAAGATTTGTGTCGTAACGAAGAATGATTTCTTTGCCGAGATTGTCTTCAATTGGAATTGGACCGACGGTCCATTCGATCTCCAAATCTTCCTTTTCGTCGTATAAACGAATCTCTTCACTAATCCAGTCGTTAAATGTGATCAGTGCGGTTTGGACGAGTGAAGTTTTGAAACATTTTCTAGAGAAAGGGAAAAAAGAAAGTATGACACGATACACTTCATCTTACAATGATCGTTTCGTTGAAACAGGAGTGGGATTTTGTGTTACTGGTCGAAAAATATAAGCACCAGAGGCTTGAAAATCAAATTGAGAATTGTTTCCTGGATAACCTTTTGTCCATCGAATAGAAAATTTCAGTCTTCTTTCAGAGAAAATCGCCTTACCTTCATACCAATAGAAACCGTGGTTGGCAAAGGTGAGATTAATATTCTTTTGAAGATTTATCATTTGTTGTAGATTTCCTTGTTCATCAATTTCCACGCGGAGATACTAAAAGCGTATTATGATATTCGAAAATTGTATCCAAAAAACTTCGTCTACTTGATTTTGCAAAATACACATTTCCTTCTTCGTTATTTTCAAATCTTCGACTTTCTCCTCCTCATTTCCTAAAACCAAAGAAGTGGAGATTTCAAAGTAAATGTCCATGTAATGATTCTACTTTCAAAGAAATATGAACTGAATCCAAGTGTTGGAAGATTATACCGAAGAATTAATTCCATTGTTGCATTACTCATTCGACCCGGAATATCTTTCGTTATATTTGATATCGGAATTAGATCAACATTGACAACTGTTCCGTTCGGATCACGAACTTTATATGAGTTTGTCACGGGTACACGTAAATAATCCATAACTGGATGAATTGTTGGATTCCAAAGCGTTACGACAAACTAAAAAGTAACCCTAAAACTGATTCTATTCAAAGCTTCGTTTTGAATTTACTCGTTCGACATTTTCGATTGGTAAACATTCGCTAATATTTGTCAATGGACAAAGAAATTGTTGAACATTCACTCTTGAATGACCCTCTTTACTTAATAATTTCGAATACGCTTGATTAATCACGTTCTAAAAACAAAAATTCCATAAAGAATTCTTTTTGACTTTTCTCTGAGTGACGAACAAGTGCTCCGTCAATGCCAATGGACAATCGTAGGGCATAATCATCTGCTACGTGTTGTCTTTCGGTTCCACTAACCGCATCATGGTGTTGAGCAACGGCCATGGCTTCACTTAAGTTAAAGATTTGATTCCGAAGTTGAGAATTGGAAAAGGCGTTTAATTGTCGTGTGACTTGTAAAATATTATTCGAATAGCGTTCGAAACGTTTCAAAGCTGGTCGAGATGTGTAAAATCCCGTCCAAAATCCATGTGGATGATGAGCGTGAGGAAAGAAATCATCGGTTTTGCTTATCCAACTACGGTTGACTTTGTTCAACGCGTATAAATAACAGGTCGGAGTCGAATAAAATACGTTTACATCACTCCCATTCATTTGCTTTATGAGAAGTATATTAGAGAAAGTTTCTCTTCGCAAAATCAACTCTTATTACCTGAGCATTGACGTATTGAATTAACTTATCTAAATTTTTGTAATTTGCCAGCGCATTTTCATATTGAAAATCACCACCGAATGTCATAATGATATGATTAGTAGCGTATTCCAACGATTCATTATGAGCGGTTTCGATAAATGTTCGAACACGTTGGGGAACATTATAATCAGGTAGATTGACATCATCCTATGAAATAAAAAGACAGACCTGACAATCAAACAGATCAGCTCACTATTATAGGATCATCGGGAGCGATAAAATCGAAAGAAAATGTTGGTGGAGTAGAATATCTTCGAGGTAAAATACCGGTGAACAGCCAACTTTGTTGTCCAAGATTTGCACTTGCTTTCCAAACCATTTCCATTGATTTCGTTGTATTCCGTTTTTGTAAATCTTGATAATCTGCGCGACCAAAGAACAACCCATCGAAACCCATCTACAATCCTTACTTTATTATGAATTTCTTTTTGAAACGATTCAACTGACTTGCGCAAGAAGAGAAGCCTGTTCTCGTGAATGACCAAACGGATCAATTTGCCAGCCAACTTTCGGTCGACCACACTCACCGAATTGTTCATTGAGAAATTCTAAACCTAAACTATGTTGGTCAATAATGGAGTTGTAATGTGTCGTTGCTTCGTCATTCATACACCAACCACCGGAGATGAATTCTAAACGACCGGAATTGACAAATTCTTTGACTTTATTACGAACTATTTCGCTTTGTTCGTTCCACCATCGAGAAAAGAAAGCCATTTCAACGTAAATAAATCGTCGATCGGAATTTTCATCCAATGCAAGGACAATCGAATCGAGAATATACTGAACACCAGCATGTTGAAGATCAGTGCGAGCTGAAATAGCGAAATTTACCAATAAGGAAACAAGTTTTCAAATCAACCATACATCCGTAATAATATTCGTCAAGTGTTTTAACGAATCCAACATCATCGTGAGAATGTGGAACGAGATGGACATTCAATTTTGTTGAATCGCCTAAATTACAAGCCTAGGAAAATAGATTTCTAATAATATATGAACATTTGATTTCTCGTACATCATAACCACATTTCTTTGTCGATTGAATTGTAATGACACAAAATGTCAGAATAAAATAAAAATTCATATCTATGTTATTTATGAATGTGGTCTGAAGATCTTCTTTATATATTAGTAGATAAGGAAAGTTGATAGTAAAAGATATTCGACATGTGACCATTCATCAACGACTCCCGGTTTCGGTGGGCTTCCATTGAAAATGTGTAGCATGTTTGTCAAGAGCTCATCCCCATATAATAGTAGAGAAAATAGTTGTCTTCAGACGAAAAACTTTTTCCAAGTTTGTTTTTACAAACATTTGTGTATGCCTGGATATCTAACTGTAGGTTTATTTTACGATAAAAGTATGTTGCATGTGCTTTTATCTTTTTTGTGATACTCGTTGGCTATCACACTGCAATAATGTATTGCGCAAAGGAGATGATATTTTTATTTTTATTTATCGTAGTATTAAATCCTGTTCGTACGTTGAACGTACATTTGATATGTCATTCGCATGATGATGTGGGCTGGCTGAGTACAGTGGATCAGTATTATACTGAACAAGTTCAATATATCATCGATTCGGTCATTTCTGCTCTCGAGGCAAATCCAGAACGTAAGTTCATTTATGTTGAACAAGCTTTCTTTCAACGTTGGTGGCGTTCACAATCCGATGAAAGAAAAAACATCACCCGTCGTCTTGTAGCATCTGGTCAACTTGAATTTGTCAATGGTGGATGGAGTATGCATGATGAAGCAACTACACACTTTATTGATATGATTGATCAAACAACATTAGGACATCGATTTCTTCTCGATGAATTTGGAGTTGTTCCTCGAACAGGCTGGCAGATCGATCCATTTGGACACAGTGCTACTCAAGCAGCTCTACTTACAAGTGAAGTGGGCTTCGCAGGTCTATTTTTCGCTCGAATTGATGTAGCTGATAATGCTATTCGTCGACAAAACAAAGCGCTGGAATTTCTATGGCAACCATCGGCATCGTTCGGTGCTTCGGCTCGAGTGTTTGCTGGAGCGTTTGCTAGTGGTAGTTATGGTCCTCCTCCGGGACTCTGCTGGGATATTAATTGTTGGTTAGATACAGCTCATCCTATTCAGGATGATCCAACACTGGAAGATTACAATGTACCAGAACGCATCGAAACCGCTGTACGAACTGCCAAAGATTTAGCATCATTACATCTTGGAGACGACATTATGTTCACATTAGGTAATGACTTTGAATATCGAGCGGCCAATGAATGGTTTAAAAACTTAGATAAACTTATTCGACTGGTTAATGCCGATGGACGTATTAAGATGTTCTATTCAACGCCAACTCAATATTTACAATCCAAACTGCAATCGGGAGTATCGTGGCCAGTGAAAACCGATGACTTTTTTCCATATGCTGACGGACCGCATTCCTATTGGACAGGCTTTTATACATCAAGACCAGCTCTAAAGCATTATATTCGATTAAATTCAGCTCTCTTACAAGTTGCCCGTCAGACTGAAGTGTGGGCAAAATGTAATGGCAATGGTACTATGCTATTATGGGATGCCATTGCCACTGCTCAACATCATGATGCTATCACTGGAACTGAACTACAGCCGGTAGCATTTGATTATGCGTTGCGCATTGCACGGGGTGCAGCACAAGCAGCTAACACCATTCACACAGCATTAGCTCAGATTATTACTCAACCCGGTGGTTTACACCCGTCATTTACTTATTGTCCTCTATCGAATGTGTCCATATGTCCATCTTCGCAAGCATTCAACTTTAATACTAGTCTTCTAGTTATACTTATTTATAATCCCATCGCACGAAATCGTTCAGAACTTATCCATTTGCCAGTTAGTTCACTTACTCATTGCCATATTCGATCTTCAACTGGATTTATTCCAGTTCAAATAACACCAGTAATGGTGACATCGGCAATTAATGTATCATTAGCAGCACCTTATCGATGCTCGTTTCTGGCGAGAGACATTCCTCCGATTGGTTATGACACATACTGGCTTACTAACCAATCAACGGCGACTACTCTATCTAATCCAACACCGATCAAGAGCACGAGTGAAGTAATATCGATTACAAATGAATTTTGGAATCTTCAATTCAATACGAGTACAGGATTACTCTTCGCCGCTACTCATATACCTTCAAACAAAACGATCGACATCTCACAAGAATTTCTTTACTATCCATCCAGTGATGACGGTAACCCTTACGTATTTCGGCCATTAGAACAAATACCACGCCCTATATCATCATATGCACGATTAGAAGTAGTGTCTGGCTTATTATATGCTGAAGTTCGGCAGTACATTACTGAATGGATTAGTAGTAGTGTGCGTCTCACACGGAACTCATCTGTCATAGAGTTCGATTACACTGTTGGTCCAATACCGATCGCAGATAGTTTAGGCAAAGAGATCATTACTCGTTTCAATACAAGTATTCGAAATCAAGGTGTGTTTTTCACCGATAGTAATGGTCGTGAATTTCAACGGCGCCAAAGAGATTATCGTCCCACATGGAATTATACAGTGACAGAACCTGTTAGTGGCAATTACTATCCGATGACAACAGCAGTACGTATTGAAGATGATGAAATGAGTTTCGCAGTGTTAACAGATCGACCACAAGGTGTCAGTAGTATGACCGATGGATCCATCGAAATCTGTTTACATCGACGAACACTCAAAGGTCCAATGCCACTCAACGAGACAGGCGATGATGGACGAGGGTTAGTCATAACTGGACGTCACTATATACTGTTAAATCCTCTTCAATCGCAATCCGATGCTATACGTTCAGTTCAAAGTCAAGTCTATGCATCATCTTTTGTGTCATTAGCTCCAATGGAAACCACTATTGACGATTACGTTGCTACACATAGCACACGAGATACCTATTTGAAAGCACCACTACCTGACAATATTGACTTGATTACATTTACTATTTACAACAAAAGTGAAAGTACACTTCTGATTCGACTTGCACATCTATTTGCTGCAAATGATCAGTCTAGTTTAGCTCAGCCTGTCACTATCGATATAACACAATTATTCAAACTTGATTTAACATCGATAAAAGAAGTGAGTTTAACGGCCAACCAACCAATTGAGAACGTACGAAAGATTCAATGGCAGTTGAAAAATATGACCGACAACATCGACGATAGCACGCAACGCAGCGTATTCAACGGTACTTTCATAACTATCACACCAATGCAAATTCGTACTTTTATAATTGTTTTACAATAAAGTAACATTTTCATTTGCACGATGAATGCACGGATGAATATAAATGAGAGATAAAAGAAGCATTCTCGGATCTAAATTTTTATAAAAGCGAAAGATTTTGGTAATTTTTGGAAATGAGCGATAAGGACTGCCATGTTTTATATTCTTCCACAAATTTCACGTACAATTTGGAAAACCTTGAACAAGAAACGTCGTAAACTAGGAACTAAAATGTATAAACTAAGAAAAGACCAACCTGCTGGTTATCAATCATTCTCTATACCGATGCAGAATATAAACCATAAGAATAGGAAAGAGAAATGAAAGACTATAGCAATACAGAACAAAATCGTTCTCCGTAAATATTGTAAGAATTTCTGTGTGAATCGATACCAACAATATTGCAATTGTATCGAACAACGATCAATTGAGAAAGATTTTTATGTCCTGACGAGTTCGTAAATCGACATGTATTGTTAAACTTCGAGATCCGCTAACTAATAATTCTGGTTTTCTAAACCATCTTCGATTGATTTGACAATCGTCTGAAGAACGAATAACGATTGCTGCATTCAATCAATCGAATGAGATCCTTTCCGAGAGAAATTGTTAAAATATATCAATATTCAATTTGTGGAAAATGAAATATTAATCCATCGATAACATGACTCATATCAAATATTGTACAATTTCCAATTTCTATGATGTCATTCTATGAAATTAAAAGCAAATGTTGAATTCGATTTGAAAAATTCATTGACAAGAAAAATTTCGGAACAAGCGAACATATTAATCTTACTCTTTTAACATTAGGAAAATGGTGCAAGAAAAATTGACTGAGTTCGCTATACAAACTGTTTTCATACAATTCAAAAAACGTTTTCTCACCAAATATTATCGGATCCATTGGGAGTTGATAAGGAAGATATGTTTGAGTTGGAGCAGAATAAGGAATTGTTAGAAGCAAACTGTGTCGATCACGAATGACATACCACTTTTTACGTATGTAAAAGCCAATAGGATACGAACGAAAGGAATTGGGCGGAGAAGAAAAATCAATTGCATGTCGAATATGAAGTTGAAAACGGAATTTTTACTTCGAATTTTCCAATGATATTCATTGACAAGATCCTCTCCATCTTTAATATTCAGTTCTAAATATTTTATATGAGATATATTGGCGAGAAAACCTTCTGTATCATTCATTGCCGTCCAAGAATCTCAAAATTTCTTGAAGAGATATTTCATCACATCATTCAACTGTTGAATAACGCAGATTTTCTAATGCAATTGTCAATTCAAAACGTAATGTAGAACCAACAGTCAATCGATTTAATCGAAGCAATGCTTCAGAACGGATTCTTAGTGATCAATTATCCTTTGCATCAGTATGGAACATCGAAATTGGAAGCAATTCTTTTAATTCGGTTGATTTTGTCAAAGCCAAGTCCAAGGAATGAATTGTTGAAGTGAAAAATACGATAAAATCATTTCGATTGTCCTGGTGTAAAAATATCATCGGATAATCGTAAGAAAATAACTCGATCGGCTGGAATTATCCGACATACATGATCGAAACGGCATTTTTGAATCGACAGAAAAATTCCGTCAATGAGAAGAATATTGACGAATGATTTCATCGCACCAGAGATAGCCGAAATATGATGAAGAATTTCAACTGGAAATCGAGTCAAAAAGAATTGACCACCAACCAATTCGAGTACGAAGGATATAGAAGGAGAAAAACAAATGTTATTTATGCATAAAGTTGCATTCAATTTTCTGTTTGCAGACACTTTTTAAAAGTAAATATTAACAGAACAAGAAAAAAGACCGTGTTTTTCGACGTCGCCGCTGTAAATACACCTTTGATCATATTTGTTTCTGTTTTACATCGACACACTAAGGATGAGTTCTATGTACGGTTCAGATTTTATCGATATTTTTGCGCTTTAGGTCCATATCTCGGTTTGCATTTGTCAATTTTAGCTTGTTTCGGCGGCCTGTAATAATACATCGACTGCGTTTCATTTGAACAGGAGTCTTTTTCAATGGAATATAGATACATAATTTCGGCTTCATCGAGCCAAGGCCAAAGATAATCCATGAAGTAAAATGGATATTGATCTTCACATTTGCCATTCTCATACCGTGAGAAGAGGAATTGGATCATAGTTGACTTTCCAGCTCTCTCAGATCCACAGTAAAATAATTCATAAGTGCCTTTTCTGCAAAATGCATTTTGAAAATCGATTGGAATCGATTGTAAATCATCATACAACTCTATCTTTTCATCTTCATCAATATTGATCAACACTTCCATTGGATGTCGCTTGAAAAATAATGGAAATACACATTTATCCAAAATTGTATATGTGTGATATCGAAACTTTGAGTTAAATATATCTCGGCGAGTGAAGATCACAGAGATGAGAGTGAAAACACTTTCGATCGTTCGAAAATCATTCAAATCATATTCATCTCTCGACAGAGATAAAACAAATTGAGAAGCGAGAGTTCGTACTTCACCCACATTCTTCACTGG